GTGCGTGCGTGCGTGCGTGCGTGCGTGCGTGCGTGCGTGCGTGCGTGCGTGCGTGCGTGCGTGCGTGCGTGCGTGCGTGCGTGCGTGCGTGCGTGCGTGCGTGCGTGCGTGCGTGCGTGCGTGCGTGCGTGCGTGCGTGCGTGCGTGCGTGCGTGCGTGCGTGCGTGCGTGCGTGCGTGCGTGCGTGCGTGCGTGCGTGCGTGCGTGCGTGCTAGCAATGTATATAACTATATCACGTGGAATACATCGCACTCTTATATTATCATAATACTAGCTTGACTCTCCCTAAAATATGGTCGAGCGCAGTGATGGCTGGCTCATCCGTCATACTCGTGAAACGAGCGCTGCTTGTAGGGACTGGTCTGCTCTTATCACTACGACTGATTTAATCTTATTACATATTTATATTTGACCCAAAAATTTGTGCTTGTTGGTAGTTTGTATTCACACGTTTCGACTTGTAAATGTAAACTTACAAGGATTATTTAAAAGAGCAACACACAAGTTTCTTGCTCGTTCTTCTTGTGATGAGACAGCTTTCCGAACGAGTGGTAGATAAAAAACAAATTGTTATGATTATTCAAAAGTGCTTAAATTAAGTTTAATTGAATAACTGATTTTCTATTCTATTCTATTCTACTCAAAAACTAAAAATTTTGGAAAGTCCACTCTATAATTGTGGTATTAAAGTATAATTTCAAAAATTTAAGATTTCTGTTTTACGCGGATTTTGATGCGTTTTCATTTAAAAGATAGAATTGATAGAGTGACTGAAGAGGAAGGTTTAGGATACATAACGTCCCACTACTGAACACGGATCTTTAAACGCACGATAATCTATATATTCTATGTCCACGCGGGCGACGCCGCGGGCGGATAGCTAGTTATAAATAAAATTGTTGATCTTACTATTTTCGATGCAATTTCTTCATATTTTCTCACCACTTAAACCTTCCATGGAGTTCTAAGTATATTTCAAAACCAAAAATAATCAAGTCGCTCCAACCTTTCTCGAGTTTTAGAGAGACTAACAAACGTCAATTTATTTTTTTATATATAGAAAGAAGAATTGTTATAAAAAAGTATATGTCAAAAATAGTTTTAAAATAATTGTAAAAACTTCTATATATATAACTCAAAGGTGACTGACATAGTGATCTATCAACGCACAGCCCAAACCACTGGACGGATCGGGCTGAAATTTGGCATGCAGGTAGATGTTATGACCTAGGCATCCGGTAAGAAAGGATTTTGATTAATTCTACCCCCAAGTGGATAAAATAGGGGATGAAAGTTTGTATGAAACTTTGTCATTTTTAAACCGATCGGGCTGAGACTTTGCAGCTACTATGACGTAGGCATTCCCTAAGAAAGAATTTTGATAAATTCCACTCCTAAGGAGATAAATTAATGTGAGCGAAGCCGTGGGCAAAAGCTAGTTATAAAATCATCGTTAAATATTAAATTAGAATATAACAGTTATAACGTATGTAATTTTTAGGCTTTAGTAATAAAAAATTGCATGCCTACTGTAAAAAGGCATATTACAGCGCTGCCAGCTGATATCATCACTGTGGTTGTTTACTTAAATTGTAATGCAAAAAAAAAAGAAAAAAACCAATATAAAAATCCATCAAGGAGTTCGCTATATGCAGGTCAAAAGGCATGATATCTTAATCACATGATAAAGTGATATTCCTTGTATAAAAGCGACGTACCGCTTACCACCTTTTTTTTATGCCACGAGCTGTCAAACGAGCATAGACCATCTGATGGTAAACGGTTACCGTAGCCTATGGACGCCTGAAAAATCAGGGGTGTTCCGCGTTGCCGACCCTTCAGAAACCTCAATATACTCTTCTTGAAAACCCCAATACTAGAGTCACTATAGAAAACTAGGTGAACCGTTTTGCAATTCTAATTACAAAAATTAAAAAAATATTGAACCATAGTGTTTACCTTTTTTTTTTTATTTTAATCTATTACTTTAATTAGATGCGTAGTAGAATTGCTATTTAAATATTTCGTACTATTTATCATTAACTAGCATTCGCTTCGTCCGCGTGGAATTTAACTTTATTTTTCGAAAATATATTTTTTTTTTAAATAGAAGTAACCTAAGTTAACTTCTTATTACATTAGCTACCTGCCAAAAAAGTCCCGTCAAAATCGGTCCAGCCGGAACTAGCCGGAATGAGCCAGATTAGCCGGAACAAACAGAGAGACAGATAAAAATTGTAAAAAATGTTAATTTGGTGTATGTACCGTATTTATATTTATATGCATGTAGTATAAAACAGTTATTTCAATATTACAAACAGACACTCCAATTTTATTTATATGTATAGGTGTATAGATGAAACTTATGGATAAAGTAAGATTGCAATGGTTTAAGATTTTTTTTCAAATAATCCAGTAGTTTCGGATTTTGTTCAATGCAATATACAATATATACACACTACACTACAATATATATACAAACAAATCTTTTCCTTTTATAATATTAGTATAGATATGTAATATTATGTTATCTGTGGTATAGATAAAGCGTAATAATTTTTATTATCACCTTAAATATATCATTATCTATTACCATTATTAAAATGGTGAATCACATATCAAGCAAAAAAAATCTAAGTTCCTTTGATAATGATTGCACGTTGAATAGTTACGTAGTGATTAGATTCAAATTGTTAATAATGAGGACCTTATGGCTAGCAATGTACCATGTCAGATTGACCTCCATGAGGCTCCCCTGGAAACCAATTTGATAAATTCATAGTGCATGTCACGATGTGCTAACTGACCTGACCTCATGCTCATCTTATCATCCTCTACTGGTGCTCCGCCAGCGTAAACCGTTAGCGCAGGCGGGTGCATCATTCTAACATCATATATAAAAAAACATACCTATATTTTTTATATACCTATCTTAGATACAGGATTTAAGATGTTATGACTACACTATATCTAGCCTAATTCCTAATTTGCCTAAGATTAAGACGATAAAAATGTGATAGTAACATTATAGTATTTGCGTTGTAGGTTATCATAAAGATAAAATAATATAATCAGATAAATAGCGTTCCATTGACGTTGAAATTAAAATACTAAATGTAATTTTACATTTAACATATTTCATTCAAGTTTTAAAATGTAAGAATTGACCTTGCGTGCTATTTGATAATGCTAATCGTGTCAACAAGTTAACGTCAATACACGATCGCATATTCATCAACACGATCAAAGGTTAAGTGTAAAAAAAACTTAATTACTTAAGTAACAAAAAATGTAACAAGCATGCAGTATTATGCACCTAACTTAGTTTTGTAATATAAATCAAAACGTTATAAAAAAAAATACATTAAAAATTGACACAATTAGCAAGCAATAGACTAAAATAGAATATTTAATTCAAATTTAGAACTTAAAAAATTACTAACCCGCCATAGTAAGTTGATGGAAAGTCACGTAGTACTAGTGTAGTAGTGTGGATTGATACAAGAACACTACGGTTTTCTCGATTTTCAGATCGAAACACATGAAAAATAATTCGAGATAAATAACTGTAACTCAGTCGGCACTACCAAAACGCTGTCAGTCAGTGACGTGAATGAAATGAAAATACTGAATGACTGAATAATATAAGAATGAAAGCTTAATGAATGAGTAGTTCACAGAGTAATTTGAGTTAGAAGAGGCGTGATTTATTGTTACATTACAGATAGTTTACTATATTACGGCTTTGGAAGTATATATTTGTGGCCAAGAATTTGAGTTAAAAAAATTGTTTTGTTGCTATGAAATACAAATTAATATATTACCCTACTTTTTTATACAGCAAAATAAAGAGTCAAATGATACATATTAATGTTTATCTCACTACTTCGCATTCTTTGCATTCCGGATAGTCTGCTGCAGTCTTTTTACATACATACTTTTTGTTACATAATGCAACAATTTAATTGTAGTGTACTGCGCAATACAAATTTTATTTTGATTATTGGATTCGTGTTTCTGGGTTTAAAGCTGAGTGTACTTTATGCTATAATTTATATTATCGTAAGGCCAATAAAAAAAAGAAAGTATAGCTGTATATGCAAGTTCCTTTGCTTGACTCAATATAATAAACATACTATAAAAAAAATATACATGTAACCGTTGAACTTGAGCTTGTTTGTTTTTTGAATGTTAATTTAAATTTTTCATAGCGTTATCGTGTAAAATGGCATCATTTGACTTAAATTCCATAAATACAGCTTTAAGTGATCCAAGTAGAACTATAAGTGGTGTAGATTTTTCTGGAAAATCATTGAAACTCGACACGGAAAAAGATGGTTTGTTTATGTCTATTATTCACGTGTAATTTAAATAATTCCATATTTCTACATTACAGCATTCATGTGCGCTTCTTTTTTATTAAATTATTATAATAATTGTGCGATATTAATAATATTTAACTTTAAAAACATAACCTCACACTATAGGTACAGATATATTTTTTTCTAGAATTACCAAGGCATTGTAACTAGTATGTCTGAACACAAAGATTTTGGAATATTTTTAAAAATAATACCATATTCTGGCCACCATAAAACCAATATACAATATTATTGGGGATAACTCGAAAACTGTTGCAGATGTTTAAATTTATATTTTACCACATGATAAATACAGCAGCTGACAGCTTTAATAAATAAACGATTAAACTAATAAATAAGTAAATTTATATTTATCAAAATCGGTTAACATAGTAAAAATCTTTATTCAAATAAACTCATTACAAGTACTTTTGTACAGTCATATTTTGATTCTACCACTCATTCGGAACGCAGATTCATCACAAGAAGAATGAGCAAGAAACTTGTGTGTTGATGTTTTTTTTATATAAATAATTACAGTATAACAAGTAAGAGGCATGCAATAATCAACATAGAAATGGCTAAGCACTCATTATTAGTGTAATCAGATAATATTGTCAGTGCTATGGATTTTAAGCATTTCTATAAAAACATTGTTATCATTAACGGAATCTTAAATTTTTTAGATCTCCATGTTTCTGCTAGAAAGATTTCTTGCTAGCTGAAACAAGGATCTTATCAAAGGATAGAGGTTCTGCCATACCTACTACCAACAACTCACCTGCTTATAGTAACAGTACGGACTGCAGATACCCAACTTCCGAAAATAAAATTTACACTTACATTGCAGTGTAGCTAAAATGTTTCTTCCAGCTCAGCCTATTGTGGATGCCATCAACGCCTGTCCCGACCTTCATTACCTGACCTTAACTGGCAACACGTTAGGTGTTGCCGCAGCCCAGGCCATAGCCAAGGCTTTGGAGCACCATCCAGAGTTCAAGGTCGCCAGATTCTCAGACATGTTCACAGGGAGAATGAAGACAGAAATACCACCTGCGTTGGTAAGCATTATCAATACTAATAAATAAAATTTAAGTGTCTGTAATTTCACAAGTTCAGTTCACAAGTATGAAGTGGTGAATGGCAAATAATTTAAGAGCTTCTCGAGCCAGTTCTGGATATTCGTGTTTTCGTCTAAAAACAAATTTCTACCTTTTTTTTTACTAATTCTTTGATTTTCTATTACACAAAGGGGGTCGCCTGTAATGTGGACTAATGTTCCTATTGCTAGCAATGTACCATGTCAGATCGACCTCCACGCGGTTCCCCCTGGAAACCATCGTGATACATTCCGGTGAATTTGTCACGTTGGGCTAACTGATTTGACCTCATGTTCATCTTATCATCCTCCACTGGTGCCCCGCCAGCGTAAACCGTTAGCGCAGGCGGATGCACCATTCCATTATCATTAAAAAAAAAAAAAAAGGGGGTCGCCAGAATATCTTGGTCTGTAAAGGGGGTTGCGAAATCAAAAAGATTGAAAAACACTGTTCTATTCTATTCTATCTATACAAACATATAATTAAAATTGGGGTTTCTGTTTGTAATATTGAAATAACTGATTTTTACTACATGCCTATGAATATAAATATGGTACATAAACCAAAATAACATTTTTTACAATTCTTGTTTGATAATCTCTGAAATGGCTGGACTGATTTTGACGGCTCTTTTATTACCAACATCAACAAAATTCAAAGAGCACAAAACTACATATTGAAGCAAACCTGTAATGCACCCTGGTTTATTCGTAACTCAGAGGCTCATCGCCACCTGGGTATCAACTCTGTCAAGGAGGAAATCTCTCAAATAATAAAAAAATATAAAATCAAGCTGGACAGACATCCAAATAAACTTGCTGTTCAACTGACATTGCCTGATTATATGGCACCTCTTAAGAGACGTAAAATACCAGACTTCAACTGTCTAGCATAAGCTGGAATATCTGAGGCTGGATTCTCAATGGAGAATCACCTCTCACAATATCAGATAGTCAACAAATCTGCTTATAGTCTGGATGACTGATTGCATGATATAAAAAACAAAAACTTATTAGCAGGTAGCTAATGTAATAAGGAGTAACTTAGGCTACTTTTATTTTAGAAAATAAACTTAAACTCCATGCGGACGAAATCGCGGGTACAGATAGTCATGTATACAGTGGTGAGGTGATAACCACCACGCACTAGATAAAGAATTTTGTACTCTATTCTATTGTATTTATGATACAATTTCAGAGTGCGCTGGGTGACGGCATGATCTCAGCTGGGGCTCGACTGTCAGTCCTTGACTTGAGCGACAATGCCTTTGGACCCATCGGTGTTGAAGGTCTCGTCAAGTTACTACAGAGTGATGTCTGCGATCAACTACAAGTATGTGTAACTGATCATATATTTATCCATACATATATATATATATATATATGTATGTCATACATTTATTCATTCATAAATATACATTTCTTGATACATAAATGTACATTAATAGTGATACATTTGTCCATACATAAATAAAATAGTCATACATTTATCCATATCAAATCAATTCAAAATATCTTTGTTCATGATATCAAATATCAAATAATATCAAATCTACCGTCAGTTCGGAATGATTTCGAGATGAGAAGATCTGACAAGAAACTCAGCTCGTATTCTTTTCTAATGAGCTTGTCCATATTTACAAAGTATCTATCTACTTGTATCAGTTATCTAGTACCTGTAGCACAAGCTTTAGCTAGCCTAACTTGGGTGTAGATGGCGCTGTGTGAATTGTCCTGAGATTATTATTATTATTTTTCTTTTTTTTTTCTCTTCTTTTATACATTTAAAAGAAGGTAATACTCACCTACACGGGCCTTAGCCAAGTGTGGGAGAGGTTGTGCTGGGTGAAGATATTGTTGAGGAGGTTAAGAATTTAGCTTAACTTGGGTCTAGATGGCGCTGTGTGAATTGTCCTGAGATTGTTTTTATTATAATTTTCAGGAGTTACGACTAAACAACAACGGTCTCGGCATCACTGGAGCACGGCTCCTAGCCAAAGCACTGTCAACGAATCCCAGGAAACTGAAAGTCTTCATCGCAGGTCGAAACAGATTGGAAAATGAGGGCTCTACGGCTTTAGCCAAAGTGTTTCAGGTATAGAAGTGTAATATATAAACATTCACGTATATATATATGTTTGGGAAACTACTCTGCTACCAAAATGTTAGGGAAGCGTCAGTCATTTACCTTTATGGTTCTGCGGATTTCTTCAGGGTCTCGAAGGTATCTTCGCTAGCTTTCCAACTTCACAGTAGGTTAACACAGTTCTAATTTATTTTAATTCACAACACAATGCGCGCGCGCGTCAAGGCCGCTGTACGGTCCGTTTGTTACTAGTTAGGGAGGGGAAGGGAACGCGCGGGAACAGAAAACTAACGGACTCTAATATAATATAATATCTGTGCTTACGCTGATACAGGGTAGATTTTGAACAATGTGTGTAAGTATGTATTTAATTGGACCCATGCGATGGACCGACCAAATCAAAGCAGCAATATGCGGTCCACTCCACGAGTGTACCAGAATGGTAGACAGTAGAGACAAATGGCGAGCTGTCGTGCGCCGGATGACATCAGCTTCACATCCCACTACGTAATGACCACGACCGTTCTGACAAGAACGAAGCGAATGAGAGATGGCGGGGCACCAGTAGGGGATGACAAGATGAGCATGAGGTCGGGTCAGTTAGCCCATCGCGATAAATTCACCAGGAATTTATCACGATGGTTTCCAGGGGGAACCGCGTGGAGGTCAACCTGACATGGTACATTGCTAGTAATGAGGTCATGAGTCCACATTACTTACAATCCCCTTTCCCCCTCGTTTATAATATTACGAAGTAATAGTTCGAACCCATTCGGACCAACTCGTCAGGCGGGAGTTGGCCTTCAGCCGCTCCATAAGTCCTTCCTTTGTTTGGAGTACCATCTGCACTCGCCCCCTATCGTCCGGTGAAGCTGTAAAGGCCAGCTGCGGCCAACAGCATTAGAGTAGAGGAGGATGTATTTAATTATAGGAGACAACAGAATATCAGCGCTGCAGACTTATCTGTAGCTTCATGCTGAGTTGGTTGCCTGTCAACACTCGGCACCCTTCCATTAGTACCCCTCCAGATAACATAGATTTAAGTTCAGTGTAAAGTCAGTCCACGTTACGACTGTTTAATTTATTTTGTATAAAAATTTACAATAAGATACCAAAGGATATGTTGGAATTACCCTTAAATAAATTCAAAACATCTGTTAAATCATATTTACTGAGCAAAGCCTATTACTCACTAAACGATTACTTGAATGACGAGCGTGCATGGCAATAGTTGTTCATGCACGGGATTTTCATTTAATGTTAGACATAGACACCTATATAAATATAAATTGTAATTAATATGGCTTTTAAAAAAAAAAGTAATTCAATTGAGTTTCTTGCCAGTTCTTCTCAATTGGATCTATATACCGAACTGGACGGTAGGGAAAAAATAAAATTATAATGTAAAAACTTGACGTTCATAAGCGGCTAAAATGTCCTACATGAATAAATGATTTTTGAATTTGAATATATAATATAAATTTAGGTGTATATAATTGTCTGTCAGTGCGTACAACACCAGAGCCCAATTATGTATACTTAATTGGTATTTTGAATTTCGAACGGATATATTTGTTTCAGCAAATGGGCACTTTGGAGGAAGTGGCCATGCCCCAGAATGGTATATACCATATTGGTATATCCGCTCTATCTGAAGCGTTCAAACTCAATCCAAATTTGTCGTGCCTTAATTTGAACGATAACACAATAGGCGCTAAAGGAGCTCAGGCCATAGCTGACGCGTTACCCAGGTATGTACCATTTATTTATATTACTAGCTGCAGCCGTGACTTCGTCCGTGTGATCTATTCAAAAGTGCTTGTAATGAGTTTATTTGAATGAAGATTATTTCTGTTTTTTTTTTATAATAATAATAATATTTATTGCAGTTATAGGTTGTGTTACATAATTAAGTTGTACATAAGAGTCAATCATTTTAACATACAAGTGTAATTGTGCCATCTGAACTAGTATAAAATTATACTGTATCTCAGATTATTGTTTAAAAAGAATATGGTGAAATAAATACAAGTGTTCTTTTTCGTTATTATATTGGTAACTAGCTGTACCTGCGACTTCGTCCGCGTGGAATTTAACTTTATTTTTCTAAAATAAAAGTAGCCTAAGTTACTCCTTATTACATCAGCTACCTGCCAATAAAAGTCCCGTCAAAATCGGTCCAGCCATTTCAGAGATTAGCCGGAACAAACAGAGAGACAGACAATAATTGTAAAAAATGTTATTTTGGTGTATGTACCGTATTTATTCATATGCATGTAGTAAAAAAAGGTTATTTCAATATTACAAACAGACACTCCAATTTTATTTATGTGTATAGATAGTCTGTTTAGCCCGGAGACAAAAGACATTGGACAAAATCTACTAATTATTAGTAGAGAATTTTGGTAGAAATAACATCTATTCAAAGGAGCAACACACAACTTTCTCGCTCGTTCTTCTTGTGAATAGTCTGTATTCCGAATGAGTGGTAGAATAAAAAAACCTAACTATTCAAAAGTGCTTGTACTGAGTTTATTAGAATAAAGTATATTTCTATTTAAAAAAATATGCCGAAATAAATACAATAAGTTCTTTTTTGTTATTATATTGCTATTTTTTTTTATTTTCAGATTAAAAAATTTAAAGTCAATCAACTTTGGCGATTGTTTGTTGAAGAGTAAAGGTGCCAGAGCGCTAGCGAAGGGTTTCAAAATGAACTCTACATTGTTAGAGGTAAGAACAGGGGCGTAGCTACCGCCGTATCTGCCTTATCAATTATACGGGGCCCCCGGCCACGGGAGCCCCCAATGTGCGTAAGCAAAACTTTCGTGCATGCGATGCTGCTCCAATGAGTCAGTCTTAAGGAGCTGACTGAATATTTCCGCTAGTCCCTGGATGTCATGTCTTTTAAGTCGGGGGGCCGTTCAAGTATTACGTAAGCACTATAGGGGGGCGGGGGGTCTTTTCTTTGCTTATTTTGGATGACATGGGGGTGGGGGAGTCTGTATGATGATTACGTCATCGGTCGTAATTTACTTTTTTACACAAATGACAACCCTCACATTGTCTTTGCTAAAAAAACAATACATTAATTGAGAGATGTTTACGTAAGCATGGGTGGAGGGGGTAAGAGCTTTGCTTACTTTTGCTGACAACGGGGGATGGGGGGTAAATAATTGTGATAAATCTGCTTACGTAATACTTGAACAGCCCCCGGGAGAATCTGTCTAATATCTGTTAAATCATATTTACTGAGCAAGGCCTATTACTCACTAAACGATTACTTGAATGACGAGCGTGCATGGCAATAGTTTTCATGTTCGGGATTTTTATTTAATATTAGACATAGACACCTATATAAATGTACATTGTAAATAAACTGGCTTTAAAAAAAAGTGATTCAATTGAGTTTCTTGCCAGTTCTTCTCAATTGGATCTATATACCGAACTGGACGGTAGGGAAAAAAAATTATAATGTAAAAACTTAACGTTCATAAGCGGCTAAAATGTCCTACATGAATAAATGATTTTTGAATTTGAATCTTAAACTCCCCGATCCTTGCAGTTGTGCGGCCAGTTCATTTCCGTGTCTATTTATATTCTTTCTTTCTTTCTTTCTTTCTTTCTTTCTTTCAATTTAGTCTAGACTGCTAGCTTCTACTGTAGGGATGTATTTCTTGTTTAAGTTTGTGTCCATATACATAAGCTTGTTACTTATGTATTGTGGAATGCAAGCAAAGAACTGACAAGAAACTCAGCTCGTATTCTTTTCAAATAAATATAGTACATGTTTAAAGCAATCTTTACATCTAATATATATCTCGTGTCACAGACTCCAGGATTACGTGAGCAGCCGTTTCTTCGGCTTCAATGCAGGGCATGCATCTATAATATAATTATCATTTCAAGTACACAGAACTGTGGCATTTACTGGCAGCTTCCGCTACCAAGCAACAAAATGTTGGAACAACATCCCGCCAACATTTAGGCATCTGACTACCGTACACAGTTTTAAAAAACATCACAAAGAATACTTATTAGATAAACAAATTTTAGGCATTCCACAGAAATTTTTTGGCTAGCGGTTGTAATCTCACGAAATGTTTTCTAAAAATTAGTTTTATTTTTCTCTATGTTACTCTTATTAATATTTTATTTTTTTTATTTTGTTGATCCTTACCACTCATTTAAAATTATATCAAATTATACTCTGAACTATTTACATTATTTTTATTATATACACACAATCACTAATAATATTGCTCCTTTTTATTTTATATTTATTTTAATTATTATTTTCACGTACCCTCAAATGGGTTGAAGCTGAAAATCAGTGTTTTGTTCCCTGAACAATGTTCCACGCTGAGCTTCGATCTGTTTGTATTGCTACAGATCACACATAATAACACAGTTTTATAAATCTTATGTTGTATTATGTATTTTTATATTCTTATGAACTTGTTATGTGTGTGACTAGTAACAAACAAATAAACGATATATCTATCTATCTATCTAAATGTGTAAGAGGTATAATTTCTCTTTTGCAGTCTCTAGATCTGAGCCACAACGAGATAGGCCGTGAAGCTGTGATGGAGCTGATAGAGGCAATCACACCATCTAAGGACAGCACGGATAGGCTGGCCAGGGTTGTACTTGCTGGTAATGTACTCTGAATAGATAATATCAATACTAAACTTAAAGACAAACTTAACCCAAGTATCGTTTAGAAAAAGTCAATAGCTCTTTTATGGGAATAGGTATAAAACTTACATAAGATACCAAAGGATATTTATTTATTTATGTCACACTAAGGTCGGATTTCACCAATCGTAGCATAAACACGTTCAAGGAAACGGAGTTCAGCGTGAACTCGAAAAAAAGAACGACGTTGATCTCGTTTTACTTTAAATGGAATTCACCAACATTATACAGATCGCGTTTACCAAAATGAAGTTTAGATTTTCATTCGTTCACAGTGTTACACGCTCATAAAATAATATTTAATGTAATGGGTAATTTAAATAAAATGATTCTAAGAAATATTTATAATTCAATCATGTGATAATTAGGATAAGTTTTTTAATTTTTAATTTAATAAGTACCGTCGACTACAAAGTATAATACAACAACCTTTATCTATAAACTAGTAAAAAAATATTTTATTGAGGATTTTTTTTATATTACTGGCAATTTTCTTTTTATTCCCGATATTGTATTGTCAAAAATTTGATTGATGACTGTTTGACAACTGACAGCTGCTTTAAATACGTTTAAAGAGTTAACTGTAGGAAATCAGACGTTCAGAATTTATAAACGTGTTTAGCGAAATTTGTAGTGGTGAAATGCAAAATGAAGGTTTGAACATATTTAAACGTTTTAATGGTGTTCAGTACGAACTAAACGTGATCAGTTTCTTTGGGTCAAATTAACGCGAGCGAAGCCGCGGGCAATAGCTAGTTTACCTATAATGATCTAGTGCAGTTCAGGTCTTTAGTACAGCACTAAATACGAAATAGAAATAATCTTTATTCAAATAAACTCATTACAAGCACTTTTGAATAGTCATATTTTGATTCTACCACTCATTCGGAATGCAGATTCATCACAAGAAGAACGAGCGAGAAACTTGTGTGTTGCTCTTTTTAATAGATGTTTTTTTTATATAAATAATTACAGTATAACAAGTAAGAGGCATGCGATAATCAACATAGAAGTCGCTACGCACTCATTATTAATGTAATCAGATAATATTGTCAGTGCTATAGATTTAAAGTTTTTCTATAAAAACATTATTGTCGTTAACGAATTCTTCAATTTTATAGTAAGCTTTTTTTGCAAAGGAACTGTTTTATATGACATTTAAATCTTTTTTCAGGCAGATTTATTGTTATATATACCTGGTTTCTGGTATTTTGTTGTAAAATCTTACGCAATTGCCATAAAACGAATTACTAACGACGAAACGAAACGAAAAAATATTAAACCCTGTAATTTGACTGCCTTTTCTCCCCTGACAGGTAACAGCTTGGGTGGTGCGGCGAATAAGAAGACGATGCGAGACAGACTGGGGTCCTGCGCGGAACTCAGCGACGGGGACGACAGTGATGGTAAACTTCATCATCATCACCATCACCATCGTTATCATAATTTCTCAATTTAAAATATATACTACTTGTCTTGACGGCCTCAGTGGTCTAGCGGTTTAGCATATCGCTTTACTTTCGATGGTCGCGGGTTCGATTCCTCGCACTGTGCAAACATTTGTATGAGTATGATTGTTTGTATCAGTCTGGGTGTTTTCTATGTATAATATGTATGTATCTACAAACAGAAAATGTATTTATGTATATATCAGTTGTCTAGTACCCATAACACAAGCTCTGCTTACCGTGGGATTAGATGGCGCTGTGTTAATTGTCCAGGGTTATTTATTTATTTATTTACTCACTTCTCCAGACGCGGCGGATTCTGGAGAAGATGATGAAGAAGATGAATCAGATGAGAACTCCGAGGACAGTGCCACTGAAGACGCGCAGCATTCCACTCTGGACAGCTCGATAGCGGATATTGTTAAAGATATAACTCTGGACACTTCCGGTTGGTTTTTTTTTTTTTGTATATGATAATGGAATGGTGCACCCGCCTGCGCTAACGGGTTACGCTGGCGGGGCACCAGTGGAGGATGATAAGATAAACATGAAGTCAGGTCAGTTAGCCCAGTTTCCAGGGAGAACCACGTGGAGGTCGACCTAACATGGTACATTGCTAGCAATAGGAGTTACTAGTTCCCATTGCTAACAATCCCCTTCCCCCCAAGGTTTTTTTTTATTATGATGGTCCAAATGGTGCACCTCCCTGTTAATTGTATACGCTGGCGGGGCGCCAGTGGAGGAAGATAAGATGAGCATGAGGTCAGGTCAGAGCACACCGTGGGTATACATCAGAGCACATACATACATGCGAAAACTTTTTATGATTAAATTTTATATTTAAATAGTAAATCAAATTATGTACTTTAATATAATATAACAAATCGCAGTGGGAGCCTAAGAATTAAAATAAATCTAAATATGTATAAAGAAAAAACTGTGACACAAATAAAAGGAAAAAAACATGATAAATGTCTCGCTTCAGGTGTAGAAGAAGTGGAGACGGATGTGGGAAGGTTTCTCCAGGAGCCGACAGTAGCAAACCTGGACAGGCTCGGGTCCAACGCGGCTGAAGTTATTGATGCTCATTTACAGGTAGAATTATATTTTAAAGTATACCATAATTAGTAAAAATCATGGGATCTTACCACCTTTTATTTTTATTGTACGCGTGGAATTTCGTGGAATATCTAAAATAAAAGTAGCCTAAGTTATTCCTTATTACATCAGCTACCTGCCAATAAAAGTCCCGTCAAAATCGGTCCAGCCGTTTCAGAGATGAGCCGGAATAAACAGACAGACAGGTAGACATACAAAAATTGTAAAAAATATTATTTTGGTGTATGTACCGTATTTATATTCATATGCATGTAGTAAAAAACGGTTATTTCAATATTACAAACAGACACTCCAATTTTATTTATATGTATGTATAGATAATAATATCTCAGGACAATGAGCACAGCGCCATCTAGTGCCAAGCTAAGCAGAGCTTGCGTTATGGGTACTAGATAACTGATACATATACATTTTTTTTTGTAAATACATACATGTTATACATAGAAAACACCCAGACCGATACAAACAATCATACTCATGAATACAAATGTTTGTGCCGTGCGAGGAATCGAACCCGCGACCATCGTAAAGCGGTGTGCTAGACCGCTAGACCACCGAGGTCGTCGAATATCGTATCGTAAGCTTTTGACAATAGCCCAAAATCACTAATAAAAAAATTATTAAAAAGACTCGGCTTTTATTACATATATATATCGCAATAAATTACTATTAAGTGTAAAAAATAAATGATTATTATAAAAAAAATTACAAAAAGTTATTCCCGTACCGGGAATCGAACCCGAGCCTCCTGGGTGAAAGCCAGGTATCCTAGCCACTAGACCATACGGGAGATGGTGAGATGAGTCGAAATTTACACCCACTATTTACAAGACAAGCATTCAGTTTTATTTTTTATATGTTTAAATTATTTTTTCCTTTAAACTACGCTTACATTCAGTCGCTTCCCCTGCTACTCGCGCTGCCGGAAATATTGGCGGGCGACAACTGAGCGAGAGAACTGAATGTAAAAACACGCTGCCACTCGCGCTGCCAGTCCTTTGACTCGCGCACGAAAAACCGACAATCGAGGGAGCGCCGGGCAGCGCGAGTGGCAGCGCCAATGGCATGGGAAGTGTTTCCACTCTCGCGCTGTTCACTTCCCTGCCCACTCGGGCCGAGTGTAAATTGGGCATAAAGTTTAAAGCGCAATGAATTTTAAGTTTTTTCTACAAAAACATTATTATCGTTTATAAATCAACTCTTAAAAATGTGTTGTACAGTCCATCAGGGAGCCGTCAGAGCTGATCCAGGCGTACGTGGAGGCGACGTTCAGCGTGGCCGGACTGCGTGGCATACTGGCGCAACAGATGTTCCCGCGGCTCATGGCGAGAGCTGGAGAACAGCACGCGGCTGCCTGGCTGCTTGCTAACTGTATGCTTCGAGCACTTGGACTTATTAAGGTACAATAATAATGTTAGAACTATTTATTTCAATTAAGGATAGATGAATTTATAGATGATAGCAATATCTAGCAAGAATAATTTTATTTGCGGACAACGTTATAATTTGTTGTTCATACTGCTTTCTTGATATATGATAGCGTAGCGACTTTTGTATTGATTGCAAAAACAATCTAAAACTCAATTACAAGTACTTTTGAATAGTCATATTTTGATTCTACCACTCATTCGGAATGCAGACTCATCACAAGAACAATGAGCAAGAAACTTGTGTGTTGCTCTCTTGAATAGATTTAGTTAGATAGTTAGTTGTAAAATAGTCTCAGTAGAGTTCACATCAATATTGTACAAACAATCCGATATTTTAAAAAGATATTAAAAGAAGGTAGTTTGTGTTTACAAATATTGTAAATAGCGCCATCTAGTGTTTATAGACCGACCTACTACACTGACTTTGGTCTATAAATACTGAGGGCGGTAGTTGAATAATCCTCTTTCGTTGCGTGAGCCGCAGCATTCAGTCGACGAGCGCAGAGCGTGCCGGTTGTGTTTTGGATACTAAAGTGAATTGTATTAGCAATGGGTTTATCCTGGACTTAGTTGGGCCTGGGGGGAAGCTGCAAGTAGTGAAGGTGAGTGTTAATGCATTCTAAAAGGGCCTTTTAAACCTACACCCGTGTCACAAGTCACGGGCGCTACTTGGGGTTTCCCTTGCGGTAGCCGGCTTCAAAGTCTAAATCGTCGTCATTTATTAGTGCTTCTTATAGCCCAAGAGCCCACGACGGCCAGACATACGTCATTTTAGTAAACGTGAAAGTTCTTGTATGTGTGTCCCCAACACTGGTAAGAAAGATCCCCAAACATGAAACCTGGATCGTGGTTCCTTTGGCAGGTAACAGATAACAAAGGTGTAAAAAATTTCATTATCAAATTCGTTATTTTAAAAAACTCCATATTTTCATATATTGTTCGTAGCATTATTATAACTTGCGCTGCTCATTGCCAGACACGTAGTGTGGTTCCAACCCCCCGCCGGACCCCCCTAAACTATACTATTTTATAAATAAACTTACCTCATTTTAATAAAGCTGAACTTTATATATATTATTGAGAGAACTATTAAACTGAGTTTCCTAAATTGCCACAGTTTTCTTGGTTCTTCATCCTACCAGACTCATTGGAACCCTATATTGGGTAACCTGCCAAAGGAACCACGATCCAGGTTTCATGTTTGGGGATCGTTCTTACCTGTGTTGGGGACACACATACAAGAACTTTCACGTTTACTAATATGACGTATGTCTGGCAGTCGTGGGCTCTTGCTCTATTACAATAAGAAGAGGCATGCGATAATCAACATAGAAACCGCTACGCACTTATTCCTGTATAAGGAATGACTGTTTGATTATTTTGTTTCAGTCTGAAAGTAAAGATTACAAGATCCGCTGGCTCCTCCCCGGCTGCTTCATCGCGCTCGCTGACGTCATCAATGAGCCATTCTTCCCCGCGGCGCTGCGGGACACCCTCAAGTTCTTCATCAGCAGTAAACTGCCGACCCTCCCCCCGGACACGCGGGACGTCGTGGAGAAACACAAGATGCTGTATATGTGATGTAATTAAACTGCTTCAAATCACAAATACTTGTTTTAATGGAAACTGGACGGTGGTTCTTTGTTAGAGCGATGGATCTAAACTTGTGTGTTGCTCTTTTGAATAGATGTTTTTTTATATAAATAACTAGCTGTCCCGGCAAACGTTGTTTTGCCTTAAAATAAAAAAAAATTAGGGGTGGACTATCCCTAACATTTAGGGGGATGAAAAATAGATCTTGGCCGATTCTCAGACCTATTCAATACACTCACAAAATTTCATGAGAATCGGTCAAGCCGTTTCGGAGGAGTATGGGAACGAAAACTGTGACACGAGAATTTTATATATAAGATTACAGTATAACAAGTAAGAGGCATGCGATAGTCAACATAGAAATCGCTACGCGCTCATTAGTGTAATCAGATAATATTGTCAGCCCTATGGATTTTAAGTTTTTCTACAAAAACATTATTATCGTTTATATGCTTTTTACAAAGGAAGTAGTACCCCATTACACGATGTCGCTTCTTTTTAGTCGCTTGGGGTAAAGTATTTGTACTAATTGAGCAGCCAGTTGATTTAGGTGGTTACATAGTCGCTTTTTATATCTTTCTTTACAATCGAGGATCTCCTCCTTTACTGTCAGTACGGCAAGTTCCTTGTAAATTTCGTTGCTGGTGATGTGCCAAGGGACACCTGATACTGCCATAAAAATAAAAAGTATATGCCATAAACATAAAAGATTTCCATATGTCTTAATATATTTATTAAATTAATTAGATATAAAATATTCCTACATATATACGAATAAAATAATATTTACAATTGAGTATTTAATTGTCTCTCTGTCTACCTCGTAAGACAAGTAAGCGTGATAATTTTGAAGCCATGAAACAATTCTATACTTTAAATTAATTCACGCATATACATTGAACTGTTTCTTTTGACAAGTTGAAATTATGTAATGTAACTTTTAAACGATACGTTTAGTTTAAAAAATTATATATTTTTATGTATCTATTTAGACAAGATTGATCAATCGACCGAGTTATGTGATGAGTCTATTTCTTCCGAGTGTACATGAGGGGTCTATGTCTTCTGGAGTTACAGAAGGGGTCGTTCTCTTAGGGGAGTACATGTGTGGTTGCTCTCTTGAGGGAGTATAGGAGTAGGGGAGTACATGGGTAGTCGCTCTCTTCAGGAGGGGCCAATCTCTTCGTCATGACTGGTCGTTCTCTTGAGGGAGTATAGCAGGGGTAGCTCTCGTAGGGGAGTGCATGGGTAGTCGCTTTCTTTAGGGTGTACAGGAGGGGTCGATCTCTTCGTCATGACTGGTCGCTCTCTTGAGGGAGTATAGCAGGGGTAGCTCTCGTAGGGGAGTGCATGGGTAGTCGCTTTCTTTAGGGGGTACAGGAGGGGTCGATCTCTTCGTCATGACTGGTCGCTCTCTTGAGGGAGTATAGCAGGGGTAGCTCTCATAGGGGAGTACATGGGTAGTCGCTTTCTTTAGGGGGCACAGGAGGGATCGATCTCTTCGGGTGTACATGAGTGGTCGCTTTCTTCGGGGGTGCAGTAGGGTATCTATCTCTTCCGGACCCTGCGTATATTGTAGTGGACCCCCTGAACATGCTGCCGAAGGTTGGACCCATCCACGAACGATTTGTCGCACATATCACACCGGTGCTTGCGGACGCCACTGTGTACCTGTTAATTAACATTTCATTAATCTATACTTCTATACTAATATTATAAAGCTGAAGAGTTTGTTTGTTTGAACGCGATAATCTCAGTAACTACTGGTTCGAATTGAAAAAATATTTTTTTGTTGGATAGTCCATTTGTCGAGGAAGGCTTTAAGCTATATAACATTACGCTACGCCCAATAGGAGCGGAGCTGTGATGAAAAAAGGTGGGGAAATGAAACGCAGACGAAGTTGTCCGGGTCAGCCAGTGTAATAATAATGTTGGACAATTCACACAGCGCCATCTAGTACCAAGATAAGGAGAGCTTGTGTGAAAATATGTGAAAAAATGTTCCTTTAAGGCAGCTACCGACTGACCTGTTTGTGTTTGAACAGGCTGGTCTTATTGCTGTAGAGGTTGAATTCTCAGCGGTTAACTTGTTGAGAATAATCAAGAAGTAGAAAGAATATAGGTTTGAAAGGAGAAAGAGTTTTGAAAGGACTTTCAATTCGAGTGCTTTATTTTTCCCGACTGACCTGTTTTGTCTGAACAGGTTGGTCTTATTGCTGTAGAGGTTGATTCTCAACGGGGAACTTGAGAATAACCAAAAAGTAGAAAGAATATAGGCTCGAAAGGAGAAAGAGGTTTGAAATAATGCGAAAGCGAAAATAATGTGAATTAAACATGTAGACAAAAAACTATAGGTTGGTCATATTGATGTAGAAGTTAAATTCTCAGCGGTTAACTCGTTGAGAATAGAATAGAGGTTTGAAAGGAGGTTGTCCCGACTGACCTGCTTGTGTCTGAACAGGTTGGTCTTATTGCTGCAGAGGTTTGTGCCTACACTAGAAATATTTATGTCAACACTTGAGACCCTTCCACTAGTTTTCGTCTCCACTAACATAGATTTAAAACAGTCCACGTTACGACTCCGCGTGGAATGTACGCGTCACTAATAAGCCATGTAGCACACTACCAAACAAACTTACTAATGTACAATAAATAGTACAATTATTACAGCTGTATACTCACTACCTACATACTACAATAAACAATATATTATGTAGCGACATCTCATCATATCATATGTAACGATACAGTGGTGAGGTGATGATCACAGCGCTACAGGTTAAATTCTGAGCGGGATAAACAACTATGACATATAGACAGAAAACAGTCGAATTCAAAGGATGTTTTCCTTTCGAGTGTTTTATTGACTGACCTGTTTGTGTCTGAACAGGTTGGTCTTGTTGCTGTAGAGTTTGAATTCTCAGCGGGTTAAATAACGTTCATAATTCGTTCACCCAGAAAAAAAACTGAGGTAACTACCACACATAGACAAAAAGAAGAAAGAAGAGGTTTGAAAAGATTTTTAACTCGAGTATTTTTTCGCCGACTGACCTGTTTGTGTCTGAACAGGTTGGTCTTATTGCTGTAGAGTTTGAATTCTCAGCGGGATAAATAACGAATCATGAAAGTGGGTTCACCCAGAAAAAAAAACTGAGGTAACTACCACACATAGACAAAAAGAAGAAAGAAGAGGTTTGAAAAGATTTTTAACTCGAGTATATTTTCCCCGACTGACCTGTTTGTGTCTGAACAGGTTGGTCTTATTGCTGTAGAGGTTGCCGCAGTCCCTGCAGGCGTGTCTGCGGGTGCGGTCGTGTCGCGTGGCGTGTTTGTCGCGCGTCTGTTTCGTGCGGAACGTTTTGTCGCACGACGGACACGCGAACGGACGCTCGCCGCTGTGAGAACGCGCGTGCGACACCAGCGAGCCCACGCACTGACAGACAATTATATATACTTAGTATTATATATGAGTTTACCCGTGATCATGGTGGTTCAAACACTGCCGAAATATCGGGAACTCAATGAATATAAAACGTGGTAAGATCCCGTGATTTTTACTAATTATAGGGATAAATAATGACCTCGTCAAATTAACACATATATTATATACTATATATAAACCTTCCTCTCGAATCACTCTGTCTATTAAAAAAAATCGTTTCAAAATCCGTCGCGTAGTTTTAAAGATTTAAGCATACATAGGGACAGACAGCGACCGCGACTTTGTTTTATATTATACTAGTTATTCGCCCCAGCTTCGCACGGGTGTACATGTATTATATATATTATACATACTTAAATTTATATTATATTATACATACTTAAATTTACATTATTTAAAAAATAAACTGTCCCCAAGTATGGCACCACTTTTAGCAAGTTCGGTTAAGTGAGTTTATAATGTATTAGGACTCGCCCCGGCTTCGCACGGATGTACATGTATCTAAATATATATAACTCAAAGGTGACTGACATAGTGATCTATCAACGCACAGCCCAAACCACTGGACGGATCGGGCTGAAATTTGGCATGCAGGTAGATGTTATGACGTAGGCATCCGCTAAGACAGGATTTTAATTAATTCTACCCCCAAGGGGATAAAATGGGGATGAAAGTTTGTATGAAACTTTGTCAATTTTAAACCGATCGGGCTGAGACTTTGCATGCATAAAGCTACTATGACGTAGGCATCCCCTAAGGAAGCATTTTGATGAATTCCACCCTTAAGAGGATAAATTAACGCGAGCGAAGCCGCGGGCAAAAGCTAGTTATACATATACATATATATAACTCCCCTTGAATTACTGAATCTATTAAAAATTCAATTGAGAAGAACTGACAAGAAACTCGATTTAATTAAAATGTATAAATACAATACTCACATTGAAAGTTCTTCCGCACGTCTCACAGAGCAGATGTCGGCTGCCGGCCAGCTGGTATGGCACACCTGGGTGTGCTTTTACAAAATGGTGGTACAGACTCGACGAATGTGTGAAGTGGTCTCCACACTGTGAAGTATAGAATAGAATAAATCTTTATTACTTTATTGTGTAAATAATAATAACATATTTATTTATATATATATATATATTTATCAGAATATGGTATGCACAATGTTGGTAATAATTATATTAAAAAATCATAATATCTTTGATGGTGACAGGACTGTTTACTATAGGATCTGGTCGGACGGTCGGACGGCGAAGTAAAAATGCTCGGTTGTTAGCACTTAGTAGGAAGGCACCTATCGGGTCGCTGTCTCGCCAGTGAATTTTTTTTTTTTTCGGACTACTCTAATGCTGTTGGCCGTAGCTGGCCTTTACAGCTTCACCGGACGATAGGGGCGAGTGCAGATGGCACTCCAAACCAGCGGAAGGACTTATGGAGCGGCTGAAGGCCAACTCCTGCCTGACGGATACGACTTTAGTCTGAGGGCACCACTAGGGGTTCGAACCTCGGTTCAGGCCGTCGTAGTTTCGATCCCCGTTGAATTGGACGGGGGATCGATCAGAGCGGCGCCCGGGGGCGGCGGTGTGGAGCGCCCGGTTGATCGCCAGTGAATGCGGACCGCGCTCTTTATATAGACGACCGGGTGGCCCTCCCTACTGCGACTGTACATTGCGTATCTTTATTTTCTATCAGTTCTACATATAATTATTATTAACAAAATTGATTTTATTCACACTTATATACGAATTCTACTTATACTAATTACTTATATTTAGGGCAATAAAAACACTATATTATATATTTTATTAAGGATGACTTATTATACTAATTACAGGTAAAACTTATTTTCAAAATTTTAAGTTTAATATTTTTATGATACAACATACAAAAATACATACAATCCTAAATTTTCACCCTTCTACCATCAACCCCTATTTTTTTATAGCGTTATTAATTTATGTGGCAAAACAACGTTTGCCGGGACAGTTAGTATATATATATAAAAGAAAAAAACTGTGAAACAAATAAAAATTAAATATATATATATTTAGATTTATTTTAAATCTTAGGTTCCCACTTTTTTATTTTAAGGCAAAACAACGTTTGCCGGGACAGCTAGTAATCTTTATAAAGTTTAGTTAAGGAAGAACTTATACAGCGGCTGATGGCCAACTCCCGTCTGACGGATTATCAGAAATTGGATCTCACCTCGCTGCAGGTAAGGTCTTTGACCCTCTCCCCTCGCTTGTTGTCCTTGTGGGTGTGTCTCTCCAGCATTTCTCTAGTATCAAACTGCTCCCCGCAGATGGTACAGCCTATGCTAAAATCAACACTACTTTAGAAGATAACCAATCTACAATATGGTCGAGCGCAGTGATGGCTGGCTCATCCGTCATACTCGTGAACGAGCTGCTTGTAGGAACTGATCTGCTCTTATCACTACGACTGATTTAATCTGATTGTGTTTTTATATTTGAGCCTAAGTAAATTAGTGTAGGTTGGTAGTTTGTATTCACACGTTTCGACTTGTAAATGTGAACTTACAAGGATTGTTTAAAAGAGCAACACACAAGTTTCTTGCTTATTCTTCTTGTGATGAGACAGCTTTTCGAATAAGCGGTAGATTTTAAAAAACTTGTTGACTATTCAAAAGTGCTTAAATTAAATTAATTTGAATAAATGATTTTCTATTAATTAACTCTTACTAAGTAATAATCTTATTAATATTACTAGCAAATCGCCCCGGCTTCGCACGGGTGTACACGTATATACTCTCGCGATTTTTTTAGATCATTTAAAGTGGAATAATTCTTTCTATAGCTTTCTAGAGCGGGTACATCTTGTTAATATATAATCTGAAAGTGTGAGTGTATGGACTTTTGTTACTCTTTCACGCAAAAACTACTGAGCACATTTTGATAAAACTCTACAGTAATAGCTTATACATCATAATAAAATATAGGCTATAAACTTCACGCGAGTGAAACCTCGAGCACAGCTAGTATATATAAAATATAAATTTGTTCAAAATCTACCCTGTACCATTGTAAGCACAGATTATTATATTAGAGTCCGTTAGTTTGTGTTCCCGCGGTTTCTGTTCTCCCTTACCTACAGTACTGAACCGACTGTACGGCGGCCATGACGCGCGCGCATTGTGTTGTGAATTAAAATAAATTAGAACTGTGAAACCTACTGTGAAACTGGAAGGCTGGCGAGGATACCTTCGAGACTCTGAAGCCCAAGAAATCCGCAGAACCATACAGGTACGAAACTGACGCTTCCACTCATTTTTCACTATATATATACAGAGAGTAAATTCCCTAACATTTTGGTAGCAGAGTAGATTCCCAAACATTTTGGTAGCAGAGCGTAGTTTCCCAAACAAATCTATCTATTATTCAAATTCAAAATATCTTTATTCATGTAGGTCTATTACAGACCCTTATGATATGTCAAATCTACCGTCAGTTCTGAATGATTTCGAGATGAGAAGAACTGACAAGAAACTCAGCTCGTATTTTTTTTAATGTTGTACATATTTACAGTAATACTATTTCATTTAAATTTAAATTTGGGAGAATAGAGTGACCACCAGCATATGCAATATAAAATAAAATCAAAAAATCTAATCAGTGTTCGCAACCTGAACAGACCAGTCCCCACAAGCAGCACCCGTTCACGAGTATGACGGATGAGCCAGCCAACATTGCGCTCCACTATTAAGTTTACAAGTGTAAGCTTATGAATATAATTGAGTATCTAATATGATCTATTTGGTAAATAGCGCCATCTAGTATTTATAGACCGAACCACGTTGTTTGTCAGAAGATAACCGTTACCTCCGCTTCTCCCTACTACACTAACTTCCGTCTATAAATAGGGAGGTCGGTAGTTGAATAATCCTCTTTGGTTGGGTGAGCCGCGGCATTCAGTCGACGAGCGCAGAGCGTGCCGGTTGTGTTTTGGATACTAAAGTGAATTGTATTACGAATGGGTTCATCCCGGTCTTAGTTGGGCCTGGGGGGAAGCTGCAAGTAGTGAAGGTGAGTGTTAATGCATTCTAAAAGGGCCTTTTAAACCTACACCCGTGTCACAAGCCACGGGCGCTACTTGGGGTTTCCCTTGCGGTAGCCGGCTTCAAAGCCTCAGTCATCATCTTATACAAGTGCTCCTTACATAAGTTGTAACTTACATGCAGCCAGCTAGTTCTGCGTGCTTGGGCGTTAAAAGCACATGTCGTACGTACACGTTGCGAGACGTGAAGGTCACACCGCACTCTTCACACCTAGTGCCGTCCTTGTCATTCACCTGCTCCTCCTGTTAATTCAGATATAATTAGAAAATATAAAAAAATCTTTAATCCCTCAGTGAAGTACCCAAGGTAGAAAGGGATTGTTAAAATATCATTAGAAAATAGAAATCTCTATTCAAATATAATTAACTGGGGGCTCGAAGGAGGTTGTTAAAATATTATTAGAAAATAGAAACAACCCCTATTCAAATATAATTAACTGGGGAGTCGAAGGGGTTGTTAAAATATTATTAGAAAATAGAAACAACCCCTATTCAAATATAATTAACTGGGGAGTCGAAGGGGTTGTTAAAATATTATTATAAAATAGAAACAACCCCTATTCAAATATAATTAACTGGGGGCTCGAAGGAGGTTGTTAAAATATTATTAGAAAATAGAAACAACCCCTATTCAAATATAGTCAACTGAGGGGTGGAAGGGAATTGTTAGTAATGTGGACTTATAACCCCATTGCTAGCAATGTACTATTGTCAGGTTGACCTCCACGTGGTTCCTGGAAACCATCGTGATAAATTCATGGTGAATTTACCACGATGAGCAATCTGACCTGACCTCATGCTCTTATCATCCTCCACTGGTGCCCCGCCAGCGTGTACCGTTAGCGCAAGCGGGTGCAACATTACATTATCATCCCTTAAAAATTAGCAAAGACATGTCACATGATAACGTGATGTCCGTAGTGCTGTTCATGTATATAGGTGACAGTCAGTCACCACTTACCATCGGGTGGTACGTCAGCTTTGGGCCAATGACAAAAAATGTAGCGAAACTACATTAAAAGTACCAGGAGAACATGAGTTTATAGGCAGTTTGTTGAGAGATGACCTGTGAAATTACAGTGTATGGAGACCGGACCTCGTAGTCCTTCAGATCTCCACCGTATTAAGGTCACATGATAACGTGATGTCCGTAGTGCTGTTCATGAATATAGGTGACGGTCACCACTTACCATCAGGTGGTACGTCAGCTTGTTTGGCACAATGCTAAAAAAATGTAGCGAAATTACATTAAAAGTACCAGGAGAACATGAGTTTATAGGCAGTTTGTTGAGACATATGACCTGAGAAATTACAGTGTATGGAGACCGGACCTCGTAGTCTTTCAGATCTCCACCGTAGTTAAATGATAACGTTATATTCGTAGTGCTGTTCATGTATATAGGCGACGGTCACCACTTACCATCGGGTGGTACGTCAGTTTGTTTGGCACAATGCTAAAAAAATGTAACGAAATTACATTAAAAGTACCAGGAGAACATGAGTTTATAGGCAGTTTGTTGAGAGATATAACCTGTGAAATTACAGTGTATGGAGACCGGACCTCGTAGTTCTTCAGATCTCCACCGTATAAAGGTCACATGATAACGTGATGTCCGTAGTGCTGTTCATGTATACGACGGTTACCACTTACCATCAGGTGAGTAACGTATTTACCATTCGAATTACATACAAAAAAGGTAAAAAAATCACCTTATGAGCAACAGTTTTGTGTTGTCGCAGTCCATTCGCGCTGACGAAGCTCCGCGCGCAGACTCCGCAGATATGTGGCGATGGGTGCAACAGGCGCAGGTGGCTAAGTAGGGTTGTGTGTTTCCTGTCAAATACAATCATATCAGCATATAGTCAAATATAAATTCAAATTCAAATTCATGTAGGACATTTTAGCCGCTTATGAACGTCAAATTTTTACATTATAATTTTAATTTTTTCCCTACCGTCCAGTTCGGTATATAGATCCAATTGAGAAGAACTGGCAAGAAACTCAATTGAATTACTTTTTTTTAAAGGTTTTTTTTATCTATCTTTTAGCCTTGAATATTTTTTTAAAAGCCAGTTTATTTACAATGTATATTTATATAGGTGTCTATGTCTAACATTAAATGAAAATCCCGTGCATGAAGAACTATTGCCATGCACGCTCGTCATTCAAGTAATCGTTTAGTAATATGAATTTGTAAAATTGTTTAATAATTTACCAATACATCTAAAAACTGTTTATAGTTTCACATTGTTTAAGTCCAGATTGAGGTCATATTTATTGAATAAGTGTTACTATTCCGTATATATTATAATATATAATATATATATAATATTATAATATATATATAATGATGACCATAAAGACTTATGAGGACCTACTGCACTATGCTGGCTGACATACCTAGATTTAATATTTAAGTTGCTATTATGTTGTTGACAAAAATTATCTGTAATGTTGCAATTATGTTATCCTACACAATTTGTATTGTTTTCAATGAATAAATAAATAGGCTTTGTTAAGTAAATATGATTTAACAGATGTTTTGAAATCGAAAGGGATCCAATTATATTTTATATATATTTTTAAGGAAGGTGTTACATATGAACGTGGATGGTTATAAGAGCAGAGGAAGACCGAAAAAGAGATGGATAGACTGTGTGAAAGATATGGTAAGAAAGGGAGTGAATAACGCGATGACTGCGAACAGGGATGAATGGAAGAGAAAAATATTACGACGACCACAAATAAATGGGATAAGGAAGAAGCAGATGGTATATTTTTTTTGGACTACTCTAATGCTGTTGGCTGCAGCTGGCCTTTACAGCTTCACCGGACGATAGGGGGCGAGTGCAGATGGCACTCCAAACAAAGGAAGGAGTTATGGAGCGGCTCAAGAACAACTCCCGCCTGACGGATACGACGCCAGTCTGAGGGCACCGATAGGGGTTTGAACCTCAGCTTAGGCCGTCGTAATTTCGATCCCCATTGAATTGGACGGGGATCGATCGGAGAGTATAATAAGTAGTCAGATATAAGACTGAGCCAACAACCCAGTTAGAAATGGAAATAGAAATAATCTTTATTCAAATAAACTTAATATAAGCACTTTTGAATAGTCAAGTTTTTTTTATTTTACCGCTCGTTCGGAATGCAGACTCATCAAAAGAAACTTGTGTGTTGCTCTTTTAAATAAATATTGATTTACTTATATTTAATTAACAACAAGGATTAGGCATGCGACAATCAATATAGAAACCGCTACGCACTCAATCTCAGTTATATCAGTATATAGTTATATCGAGTCATAATATACATAGGAAACACCCAGACCGATACAAACAATCGTACTCAGGAATACATGTTTGTATCGTGAAGGAATCTAACCCGCGACCATTAGAAGTAAGGCGGCGTGCTAAACCTAACTAACCCAATACATTTTTTTGTATATGTAATACATACATACCTGAAACTCATCTGACAATGTTGGCACGTGTGTACCACGCCTTCGTGCCAGCTCTGATGTTTCCGCGCTTGTGCTCTGAAGAAAACAAATAAATATTACTTTAAATAATAATAAAGTTATAGTTTTGTCTGCAAAATTTTGCCTTCCATTTAAATAGAAATAATCTTTATTCAAATAAACTTAAAATAAGCACTTTTGAATAGTCACATTTATTTTGTTCTACCACTCATACAGAAACACAGCTTGCAATCGAAACACAGCCGGAACTCAAAACACAGCTAGCAGTCGAAGCTAGAAACACAGCTTGCAATCGAAACACAGCCGGAACTCAAAACACAGCTAGCAGTCGAAGCTAGAAACACAGCTTGCAGTCCACCCACAGCTGGCAAACGAAACACAGTTTACAATCCAAACCCAGCTTGCTATGAAACACAGCTGGAACTCAAAACACAGCTAGCAGTTGAAGCTAGAAACACAGCTTGCAGTCCACCCACAGCTGGCAAACGAAACACAGTTTACAATCCAAACCCAGCTTGCAATCGAAACACAGTTGGAACTCAAAACACAGCTAGCAGTCAAGCTAGAAACACAGCTTGCAGTCCACCCACAGCTGGCAAAAGAAACGGTTTACAATCCAAACACACAGCTTGCAAGCTTCCTGGCGACTGCAATAGACTTTCTACAACTTTGTTATTTACTGTACTCACTTGCTGTAGGTAACAAAGGAGCAACTTTTACATGTATATTTGGCGGTGTGGTTTGAATCACGGTGTGTACGATGCAGTTTTGACGTGAGACATCGTATGTTGCATATTCTGCATATATATTCACCGGCTGACGGCTGAAAATAAAAAAAAATGGGTAAGAAGCATAACATTATACATGTTACTAGCAGACCCGACCACGGTTTGCTGTAGCTAAGGTTCTTGAAGAAAATAATATTGCGACTATAAATTGAGATGTAAGCTATCCTATGTTTCAAGTTGAATCAAATTGCACACAATGTGCAAATCAAATTTGCAATCGGTTCAGTAGTTTAGGAGTCCATCGCGGATAAACAGCGTGACATGTAATTTTTTTCTATACCTATAAATAAAATTGGAGTGTCTGTTTGTAATATTGAAATAACCGTTTTTTACTACATGCATATGAATATAAATATGATTATAGACTCAGTTCTGCTGAATAGAATAGAATAGAATAGAATAGAATAGAAAATCATTTATTCAAATAAACTTACATCGAAGCACTTTTGAATAGTCATAACAATTTGTTTTTTATCTACCACTCGTTCGGAAAGCTGTCTCATCACAAGAAGAATGAGCAAGAAACTTGTCTGTTTTCTTTTAAATAATCCTTGTAAGTTTACATTTACAGCTGCTTATGCAATTAGAAGGGGAAAGCAATTAACAGACGTGGCGAGGGAGAAACTTGTATATTTTAGTTATTTCCATAGCATTATGTCATATGGCAGACTGCTGTGGGGTAAAGCTGCCGATGTAAATACTATATTGATTTCATTTGAAACTTACCTCATGCTTTAGTTTATGAGTGTCTAACAACTTCTGTTCTTTGAAGCCCCTGTAACAAACATCACATTTATATTCCGCCTTCAAGTAACCATCGTCAGTTCTCCTCCTGTTGAACTCCTCGAGCTGTTCCTCTTCTGTCAGATACATCTGCACATTGAAGTCATTCTCCAGATCCTTAAGGGGCTTATAACGTTTGTCCAGTTTGAAAAGCAACTGTTTGTCTTTAGCCGTTAAGGTTGGTTTTTCTGTAACAAAGTATTTTAATAATTTTATTTCTGGATTCCCAAATGACTTATAATATTACATTTGTCTAGTTTGAAAAGCAACTGTTTATCTTTAGCTGTTAGAGTTGGTTTTTCTGTAACAAAGTATTTTAATAATTTAATTTCTGGATTCCTAAATGACTTATAATATAACATTTGCCTAGTTTTGAAAAGCAACTAAAGAAATTGGCCATTAAGGTTGGTTTTTCTGTAACAAAGTATTTTAATCATTTTATTTCTGGATTCCCAAATGACTTATAATATAACATTTGTCTAGTTTGAAAAGCAACTGTTTGTCTTTAGCTGTTAAGGTTGGTTTTTCTGTAACAAAGTATTTTAATAATTTTATTTCAGGATTCCTAAATCTTATATATAAAATTCTCGTGTCACAGTTTTCGTACCCATACTCTTCCGAAACGGCTTGACTGATTCTCATGAAATTTTGTGAGCGTATTGAGTAGGTCTGAGAATCGGCCAACATCTATTTTTCAACCCCCTAAATGTTAGTTTCAACCCTAATTTTTTTTTTATTTTAAGGCAAAACTGGTGACTTATAATATTACATTTGTCTAGTTTGAAAAGCAACTGTTTATCTTTAGCTGTTAGAGTTGGTTTTTCTATAACAAAGTAATAATGATAACTCTAGACAATTCATACAACGCCATCTAGTGACAAGCTAATCAGAGAGAGTGTTTTATGGGTAGGGTTCCTCCCCCCTCCAGGTAGAGGTGGAGATTCATTTTTTTTCTTTCTAGCAATAAAATATTACTTACCTTTTATTTGTCTCAACAGTTTCCTTCTCTTATGTATACTCATTTTGTCTATATTCAATTCTTCTATTCTGTCCTTCTGTCTATTCTTCTGTTTGACTTTCTGCTTTCCTTTCCTTTTCTTTACCTCTATATTTCTCTGCTCCGCACATTTCGATTCAGGTATGATGTCCTAAAATCAATAATAACCTATACATATAACTAAAAATTGGAGTGTATGTTTGTAATATTGAAATAACCGTTTTTTACTACATGCATATGAATATAAATACGGTACATACACCAAAATAACAATTTTAAAATTTTTGTCTGTCTATTTGTTCCGGCTAATCTCTGAAATGGGTGGACGAATTTTGACGGGACTTTTTTTGACAGGTAGGTGATGTAATAAGGAGCTACTACTTGGGCTACTTTAGAAAAATTTTGCTAAATTCCACGCGTACGAAGTCACGGGAAGAGCTAGTATATATATACAGCATGTTTGGGTGTGGTGTCTGTAAGCTTCACGAAATAATAATGCCCCCTGCATTATTATTTTGTGAAGCTAGTTAACTACAAAAAAATTAATTATTAATTGTTAAGGTTAGTTATCTACAAAAAAAAAAAAAAAATAAAAAAAAAAAAAAAAAAAAAAAAAAAAAAATTGTTAGTTATCTACAAAAAAAAAAAAAAAAATAAAAAAATAAATTGTTAATTGTTAGTTATCTACAAAAAAAAAAAATAAAAAAATAAATTGTTAATTGTTAGTTATCTACAAAAAAAAAAAATAAAAAAATAAATTGTTAATTGTTAGTTATCTACAAAAAAAAAATAAAAAAAAAAATTGTTAATTGTTAAGGTTAGTTATCTACAAAAACAATTACTCACCTCAGTAATTTCCTCCTTAGTAAACACAACTATAGGGCTCAATGAATCCATACAACCCTCCATTAAGTCTTCATCAAAATCGGTTTTCACTTCCAACTCGGACACATCAACATTCTTCACTGTTTCCTCGTCGTTCTCCATTTTGAGATTCTTCTCCATATCGTTAAATGATTCCTCCTTGGTATTAACATGTGATACGTAAATATTTGTATTTATATATTGAAAAACATCATTGTTGTCTATATGTTTGTAATTTGTTATTTTATTACGGTGTTCTTTCCAGAAACTTAAATGTGGGTAGGATATTAAATTGGATTCCTTCAGCTGTAAAAAAAATTACAACCAAATTCAAAAAAGGTCTATACATCTATACATATAAATAAAATTGTAGTGTCTGTTCGTAATATTGGAATAACCGTTTTTACTACAGGCATATGAATATATATGCGTGTAGTAAAAAACCACTATATTATTTTTTTTAATTTTTGTCTGTCTATCTGTCTGTTTCTCTCTCTCTCTATGATTCTCTGAAATGGCTGGACCGATTTTGACGGAACTTTTTTTGGCAGGTAGCTGATGTAATAAGGAGTAACTTACGGTACTTTTATTTTAGAAAAATTCTCTAATTAACTTCTTTGTTAGTATTTAACAAAGAAGTTAATTAGAGAATTTTTTCATGTGGACAATTCAATTCATGTGAACGGAGTCGCATGTCCAGCTAGTATTAAATATAATTATTGAATAATTATTAATGATGATGATAGTTATTGATTAATAAGAAAAAAGAAGGATGTCGTAATAATATAAAAGTGACAATATAAGTAATCCTAATAAACAAATAAATAAAATACTGACCTTCAGTCCAGTGTTCCAGCACTGTTGAATCATTTCTTGGGAATTATTGCATTTCCTCTTAAAGTTATAGAATTTCTTCAATAAATACATACAACAGGGGCACAGCTGTATCGGATAGTTATGTTTCAGCTGTAACAAAATAGAACAAATGTTTGGGTTAGAAACACTGATTAGACTATTTGCTTTTGTAATAGCATATGCTGGTGGTCACTCTATTCTCCCAGATTTGAGTTTAATAATTTAATAAATTTGACGACCTCAGTGGTGTAGCGGTCAAGCACACCACATTACGACAGATGGTCGCGGGTTCGATTGCTCGCACGGCACAAACATTTGTATTCATGAGTATGATTGTTTGTATCGGTCTGGGTGCTTTCTATGTATAATATGTATGTATTTACAAAAAAAATATCTATATATATGTATAAGTTATCTAATACCCATAACACAATCTTTAGCTAGCTTAACTTGGGTCTAGACGGCGCTGTGTGAATTGTACTGAGATTATTATTATTAATTACTATCGAAAAATTCTCATCTCCTCTCTTAAGGAGAGGAGATGGCAACACACATTAGTCCCTGTTATTACACTAATAATGAGTGTGTAGCGATTTCTATGTTGATTATCGCATGCCTCTTACTTGTTATACTGTAATTATTATATAAAACAAACATCTATTAAAAAGTAACACACAAGTTTCTTGCTCATTCTTCTTATGATGAATCTGCATTCCCAATGAGTGGTAGAATCAAAATATGACTATTCAAAAATGCTTGTAATGAGTTTATTTGAATCTTTTTTCCTGTGAAGCTGCAATGGATTCCTGCTCATATATTGGTATAAAGGGAAATGAACTGGCTAACAAATAAGAAAAATCTGCAAGTTCTTGTGGTAAACAATACAATGTTAGTCCCAGTCATTCAGATGTGCTACCTAAATTATATGTATAATACATGTACACCCGTACGAAGCCGGGTTGGGTAGATAGTATATGATATTTACGAGATACTTACAGATTCTTCACACAACAGTCCTTTGTAGAAAATACTTAAACAACTGCGATTATTAATATTGTGGAGCTTTCCTTCCGTTCTCAAACATATCACACAAATATTAAGCAAATCCATTTTATATATTGTTTTTGTATACAAACAAGCAAATATGTTCCACTTTCTGGCGAATCTATACGTTCAGTTCATGCCTTAATATCTTTAAACAGACTTAATTAATGACACTTTTAATTAAGATTTACAATTCAGTCAGATTTAAATATAAAATAAACATGTTTACAATGTTAAGAACAGGGGAAAATAAATTAAGAGAAAATGATAGGATTTCATTTATTTCCTCTTTGTTATTGTTTTTTTAATCCGATATATCCCACAGACTAACTAACCTTCAGAAAGTGAATACATTCATTTGTGTGAGTGTTTGTTCAATATCGCAGGCTTTGCAGTACTCTATGATTGAGTCAATTGACAACAGATTGACGTCAAAGTGATGGCTGTATGGGCTCAGTTCTTTTGCCTTCCCTTGTAACTGGAAAAGTTGAATAAAAAAAAATTCCTGAATTGTTTTCAAAATATTGCCGAATATTTTTGTAAAATATAAACATTAAAAATAATTAATAATATTCAAGAATAAATAGAATAACACACCAATTGAAGCTACTGACTGAAATATATTTGTAAATAAGTTTAATCAAAACAAAAAGAAAACATAACCTGTAAAGTTCATGGTGAAAATAATGATCATTTATAATCTTTTACTTAATAATAACTAATTATTATGTAAGTGAAACCAAATCACAGAACAGTGTGTTTTACTGATTCTTAATATAAGTATAATTTGTAAAAATCACGGGATGTTTCACCATGTTTTATTTTTATTGAGTTCTCGATGTTATATTCAATTCCAACATTTTAAAATTAACTTTACCTTATTAACTTTATTCCTATAGGATTTTTTAAGGTGTTGTGGATGCTCATGTGTGATGGTATTAACTTAACATCAGATGTCCTACATGCTTGTATACAATTTAAGATTTAAAAAAATGGTTATCATAAAAATCAATAATCTTTTATTAAGTTACATGCCATTAGACTCTAGCTACATTATCTCTAATTGAATTTTTAATAAAATTGTTATAGAGCATAAATTGTAGGTATATTAAATATTTATAGTTAGATGTGTAGTATATATTTATTATTATAATTCAACTTAAAGACTTAACTTAATAATAAAATAAAAAAAAACTAAAATATATTATTAAACAGTCCCTTTAGGCAAGATTCCAAAGATACTGGTAGTGTATAACTGAAATTATAAATGAATCTGTATTTTTATGATCATGTACAAGGTAATTTAAAAAGAATACAAGCTGAGTTTCTTGTCAGTACTTAACTCGAAGGCACTCTAACTGACGGTAGATTTGACATATCATAAGTCTTTAATAGACCTACATGAATAGATATATTGTAATATATAAGTGCCATTTTTTTATTACTTATTATTTATAACACATTATTTTATTACAGTAAGAATGGCAGACACATTGAAATTAAATTTACTATTCGGAGGTGGTGCTGAGTTGTTGTTTGACAAAATAAAAAAGCGGGAAATTGAGTTACCAGCATTGAAAAAGTGCTATCCAGATTGCCAGAGTGAAAAATGGACTATTAAAGAGTTATTAGTCTGGTTGAAAGATAATTTATTGAGAGAGAGACCGGAGCTTTTTGTGCAGGTATGTATCATGAAACTATATGCATGATGACTAGATGGAGTAGATGGCGCTGTGTTAATTGTCCAGGGTTATTTATTTATTTATATCAGTTGTCTAGTACCCATAACACAAGCTCTGATGGCGCTGTGTTAATTGTCCATGGTTATATATTTATTTATATCAGTTGTCTAGTACCCATAACACAAGCTCTGCTTACTGTGGGACTAGATGGCGCTGTGTTAATTGTCCAGGGTTATTTATTTATTTATATCAGTTGTCTAGTACCCATAACACAAGCTCTGCTTACAGTGGGACTAGATGGCGCTGTGTTAATTGTCCAGGGTTTTTTATTTATTTATATCAGTTGTCTAGTACCCATAACACAAGCTCTGCTTACCGTGGGACTAGATGGCGCTGTGTTAATTGTCCAGGGTTATTTATTTATTTATATCAGTTGTCTAGTACCCATAACACAAGCTCTGCTTACCGTGGGACTAGATGGCGCTGTGTTAATTGTCCAGGGTTATTTATTTATTTATATCAGTTGTCTAGTACCCATAATACAAGCTCTGCTAACCGTGGGACTAGATGGCGCTGTGTTAATTGTCCAGGGTTATTTATTTATTTATATCAGTTGTCTAGTACCCATAACACAAGCTCTGTTTACCGTGGGACTAGATGGCGCTGTGTTAATTGTCCAGGGTGTATTATTATTATTAAATATAGAAATTTTGTTGACAGGGTGAATCTGTGCGGCCCGGCATCCTAGTATTAATAAATGACGCAGATTGGGAACTGTATGGCGAGTTAAATTATGAACTGCAAGATAACGACAATATTATGTTTATATCGACTTTACACGGTGGTTAAATAAAGTATTTTAAAATAAGTATTTTCTCATACTTTTTGTTTTTAATTTACAGCGCCATCTCGTTAAATATTTATGTACTTCAAAGTGTCATTTTCAACTGCTAGATGGCGTTGTATACAAAATAATTTTGTCGAAATTGACGTGTAAAAGTTTTGTAAATATTATAATTAAATATTAAAAATTTTATAAACAAATAGGAGATACTTGGTTTTTTTATTGAATGCAGAATATAAAACTTTATATGTTTAAAACTTACAAAAACTTTACCGTAGATAAACAATCTATACATATAAATAAAATTGGAGCGTCTGTTTGTAATATTGAAATAACCGGTTTTCACTACATGCATATGAATATAAATATGGTACATATATAAAAATCACTTTTTTTTAAATTCAATTTGTTTGAAATCTCTGAAATGGCTGGACGGATTTATACGGAACTTTTTTGGCAAGTAGCTGTTATAATAAAGAGTAACTTAGGTTACTTTAATTTTACAAAAAAATCGTTTATTTTAGAAAAACAAAGTTAAATTCCACGCGGACGAAGTCGCGGGTACAGTTAGCATTACATATATTACATTACATTTATTCTTATTTAGTTACTCAACCTTGGTTGTGTATTCAATATTTTGACTGTAATGAATCAGTGCTGGTTGGTAGTTTGTATTCACAAATTTCAACTTAAAAATGTAAAGTTACAACTAAATTATTTAAAAGAGCAACACACAAGTTTCTAGCCAGTTCCTGCTAGATATTGTTCTCGTTCTTGCTGTTTCATAAAAATCCGAATGAGTGGTAGATTAAAAGATTTCAAAATTGAAGTTTTTTACTATATATTTCGTATAATAACTTTTTTTTGTTTTGTTTTATTTATCCTTTATGGAAAGGCAAAGAGTCTAAGCCCATACAGCCGTTAATACTTTTTTTTATTATCTTTTTTACAAGTTCTGTCAAATATCCATTGACATTTTAATAACGTTTTGTTAGTAGTTTTTTTTTCAGTTATTTGAGTGTTTTTTCTATTTTATTCAAATGTTCTGGTAATTTATTTTATAATTATATTGATATTGTGAGAGGACTAAATGAGTGCAAAGCACAGATATTATATTACATAGTGCAAAGTAAGTCTGGAAGCAATTATCTGTTGTGTAATCGTACAGAGTAATTGAATTATGCATTTTATCTTTTTTTTTTTTAAGAAATCACAAGTTTTGCGAACGTATTTCGATCGATCCCCCGTCCAATTCAAGCGGGGAATGAAACGACGGTCTGAGCCGAGGTTCGAAACCCTAGCGGTGTCCTCAGACTGGCGTCGTATCCGTCAGGTTTTTTTTTCTTCGGACTACTCTAATGCTGTTGGCCGCAGCTGGCCTTTTCTCCGGTGAAGCTTCACCGGACGTTATGGGGCGAGTGCAGATGGCACTCCAAACCCGCGGAAGGACTTATGGAGCGGCTTAAGGCCAACTCCTGCCTGATGGATACGACTTTAGTCTGAGGGTACCACTAGGGGTTCGAACCTCGGCTCAGGCCGTCGTAATATTGATCCCCGTTTGAATTGGACGGGGAATCGATCGGAAGGGCGCCGGTGTGGAGCGGCCGGGTTGTTTGTTACTCTTTCACGCAAAAAAAATCGACTTTAGAATAGAATAGAATAGAAAATCATTTATTCAAATAAACTCAATTTAAGCACTTTTGAATAGTCATAGCTATCATCCTTTTAATCTACCGCTCATTCGGAAAACTGTCTCATCACAAGAACGAGCAAGAAACTTGCGTGTTGCTCTTTTAAATATTCATTGTAATTTTACATTTCCAATTCTAAACGTGCGAATACAAACCACCAACTGGCAAACTTATTAGCTTCAGAAATCGGATATTTTTTTTATTAATAATGGGATTACCCTTGGTTTTACCTTATCTGATGGTAAATGATGGTAAGACCTAGGATGTAGCGTGCTCACCCAGAAGATATCTATTCACCATAGACTTGAAGAATCCGGGGTTGTATTTCTCCGGGAACACAGTAGTTGGAAGTGTGAATGAATGAATGAATGAATGAATGAATGAAACTCTTTATTGTTCCTCTCACAGAAAATACAATTACATATACAATTATGTACAAAATGATAAAAAATATATATATAATAATAATAATAATAATAATCTCAGGACAATTCACACAGGGCCATCTAGACCCAAGTTAAGCTAGCTAAAGCTTGTGTTATGGGTCCTAGACAACTGATACAAATACATAGATATATTTTTTTTTCGTAAATACATACATATTATACATAGAAAATACCCAGACCGATACAAACAATCATACTCAATGTCAATGTCAATGTCGGTTGGACTCCATTTTCCGCAATTAGCCTCTCATTCGGGCCGTTGTGCGTGTAGAGCCAGACTACTAACGTAGCCAGCCAAGCTCCTCCCAGAAGCGCAGAAGTCTCCTGGTGTCTTCGCAGGCTTCTCGGAGCGACCTCACCGTTCCGAGGATTTGATTTCGTTGTGTGGTCACTGCTTCGCACTCCAGGATTACGTGAGCGGCCCTTTCCTCGGCTACAAAGCAGCCCCGGCATAGGGGACTGTCTGTGTGTGTTTGGGACCTATTGTGTACAAATGTCTATTGATTTTGGGACAGTGGCCCGTCATTGTCCCGATCATTGTTTTTATGTTATGCCTGTCCAGATTTATTAGGCGTTTTGTTATTCGTTGATTTGTTCTGGGAATTGCCACTTTTGATTGTTTACAATCGGTGGTTTGTTTCCATCTTTGGTTTTGTATCTCAGTGGATCTTTGGCGAATCCAGGATCAAAATTGTGAGAATGGTATTGGCAGAAGCGGGAGGGGGCCTGCTACCGTCATGCCTGATCCTCTTCTCGCCAATTCGTCCGCGGCATCATTTCCATATGATCCACTGTGCCCTTTTATCCACTGGATGGTTACACCGTTGTGCTCTGCCACTTTATCCATGATATTGTGACATTCGATTATTAATCTGTTGTTTGATTTCCTGTTCTGTAGTGCTTTTAGCACGGCTGCACTGTCCGATATAAATTTTAAGTTGAAGTTGTTGACACCTAACTTTAGCACTGTTCGTGCTGCCTCAGTCAGGGCAACGCATTCACATTGGAAAATCGAACTGTGTGGTCCGAGTGGTATGTATAAGTTCATGTTGAGGTCAAGGGAGTGGGCTCCTGCTCCTGAACCGTTATGTGTTTTGGAGCCATCTGTGTATATTCGCAGTTCATTTACAGCAGATTGGTCTTGTTCCTCCTGATTCATTTGTATTTGGTATTTTCTGTTAAACAATCATACTCATGAATACAAATGTTTGTACCGTGCGAGGAATCGAACCCGCGACCATCGGTCGTAAAGCGGTAGACTAGACCGCTAGACCACCGAGGTCGTAATAAGTTAATTTAAATTCATGTTAAATGAATTTAAATTTGCATGCTCAAAATGCAGCTAAATATAGAACTGTAAATTAATTTGTAAGAACAATGTAACCTATTCAAAGCAAATAAATAAATAAATAAAACAATCCTCTTCAACCGTAATGTGGGAGATTGTATCAGATCTTTTATTTCTTCCTACCAGATTGAGAAACCTGATTGAAGCAACAAACATGATGGCTGCCAATAAATATAAGGTACAATCAAAATGTTTTTTCAATTTGCAACGTAATAAAATGCTCCCCAGTCGTAAGTAATAATATTATGCGTAGATTAAAACTTAATCTCGGTATAGAGTCATTTGCGTACAGTACAGTCGAACTTAGAAACTACTCCGTTAAATGTTGAAGTAAACTTTTTTCTTAAAAATTTTCTTTGCTTTAGAAACGTGAAATTTAAACAGTCGTCATATATATAATTATTATATAGTATAATATATAGTCGCTGTCGCTGTTTGTCCGTCCTTATGTATGCTTAAATCTTTAAAACTACGCAGTTTTTCTAGTGATTCAAGAGGAAGGTTTATATATATAATACATGTACACCCGCGCGAAGTCGGGGCGAGTAGCTAGTATAGTATAAAATTAAGTCGCTTCCGTTGTCTGTTCGCTTATATCTTTTAAACTACGCGGATTTTAATGCAGTTGTTTGCAGTAGATAGAGTGATTTAAGAGGTAGGTTTATATTGTATAATACATGTACACTTGTGCGAGGACGGGGCGGATAAATAGTTTATTATAAATTACACATATATATTCGACGACCTCAGTGCTTTAGCAGTTGAGAACACGGCCTTACTTCCGATGGTCGCGGTTTCGATTCCTCGCACAGTACAAACATTTATATTCATGAGTATGATTGTTTGTATCAGTCTGGGTGTTTTCTATGTATAATATGTATGTATTTACGAAAAAAATCTATGTATTTGTATCAGTTATCTAGTGCCCATAACACAAGCTTTTGCTAACTTAACTTGGGTCTAGATGGCGCTGTGTGAATTGATTATTATTGTAATTAGGGAGAACATAGTGGCTGATTAATATTCTCTTATTCAAATTCAAAATATCTTTATTCATGTAGGTCTATTACAGACTCTTATGATATGTCAAATTTACCGTCAGTTCGGAATGATTTCGAGATGAGAAGAACTGACAAGAAACTCAGCTCGTATTCTTTTCAAATGAATGTTGTACATGTTTATAATAATACAGATTCATTTTTAAATTCAAATTTGGGAGAATAGAGTGACCATATGACCATGTGTATAACGTAAATAAAGTAGAAGTAAATGACGCGATGACTGCGAACAGGGATGAATGGAAGCGAAAAACATATTCCGCCGACCCCAAGTAAATGGGATAAGGAAGAAGCAGATGATGATGATGATGATGATGATGATGACCATGTGTACAGTTTATCATGAAAATTATTAGATTTCTAAGTGCAAGTGTTTCTGCGGTATACTGTACCGCCACCCCTAAAAAGTACAGGGGCGTGAAAAGAAAAGGGTCGCCCCATTTTGTTTTTAAATGACTGACACCAAACAGGGACGTATTCAGTGTGATATTATATTTTTAATTTTTAAAAATTCTTTATAGCACACTCGTTCGTAATGTGGATTGAATTTCACGTGTTTTCGATATATAAAGTGGGTTTATAAAACACGTGTGCGTTAAAAACGTAAGTAGTGAAGTTATATTCCATAACCGCGCTATTCATACATCTATACATATAAATAAAATTGGAGTGTCTGTTTGTAATATTGAAATAACAGTTTTTTACTACATGATCATTTCTTTATTTGATTTGTTTTGACCAAATGGGTCGTATTGCGTCTCATTTATATTAGAGAAAACTTAAGGCCAATTCCAGCAAACAGTTCCTTTGCAAAAAAGCTTACTATAAAATTAAAGAATTCGTTAACGATAATAATGTTTTTATAGAAAAACTTTAAATCTATAGCACTGATAATATTATCTGATTACACTAATAATGAGTGCGTAGCGATTTCTATGTTGATTATCGCATGCCTCTTACTTGTTATACTGTAATTATTATATAAAAAAAATATCTATTCAAAAGACCAACACACAAGTTTCTCGCTCGTTCTTCTTGTGATGAATCTGCATTCCGAATGAGTGGTAGAATCAAAATATGACTATTCAAAAGTGCTTGTAATGAGTTTATTTGAACAAAGATTATTTCTTTCTGTCTTTGATTTGTTTTGACCAAATTGTGTCTCATTTATGTTGGACTAAACTTATGGTCAGTACGCCCCTGTGTTAAACTTTTTGACATGCATCCCCGGACGGGTTAAGCCAATTACAAGCGGAGTCAGGTGCGCGCACGGGTCTTTCATTATAGTTATCTCTTTGGTACTTATGGGAGGCCATATGTGCATTTTGATGTCACGATATATTAAACTCTTTAAAAGAAATAGAAATAATCTTTATTGAAATAAACTCGAATACAAGCACTTTAGAATAGTCATATTTTTACTAGCTTTTGCCCGCGGCTTCGCTCGCGTTAACTTATTTCCTTAGGGGTGGAATTTATTAAAATCCTTTCTTAGGGGATGCCTACGTCATAACATCTACCTGCATGCCAAATTTCAGGCCGATTCGTCCAGTTGTTTGTGCTGTACGTTGATACATCACTACGCCAGTCACCTTTGAGTTATATATATTTTGATTCTACACATTCGGAACGCAGACTCATCACAAGAAGAATGAGCAAGAAACTTGTGTGTTGACTTTTTTAATAAATGTTATTCTAAGTAAACTTGACAATTCACACAGTGCCATCTAGGCCCAAGTTACAACAACAACTGATACAAATACATAGATATATTTTTATATTTTTTCGTAAATACATACATAATATACATAGACAACACGCAGACATATACAAACAATCATACTCATGAATACAAATGTTTGTACTGTGCGAGGAATCGAACCCGCGACCATCAGGAGTAAAGTCGTGTGCTAAACCGGTAGACTACTAAGGAAGTAATACACAATATCCTAATAAGATAGGTAACATAAACCTGAGAGAGGATCTAGCCTGATCCTAGCTTACCGTTCGAGATACATCGGAAACTGTTGTGACATACAGATGCAATAGAACAGAATATCTCTATTCTCCCAAATTAGAATCTTAATAACTGTATTTATCATAAACATGTTTCACTATTATTTGAAAAAAATACGAGCTGAGTTTCTTGTCAGTTCTTCTCATCTCGATATCATTCCGAACTGACGGTAGATTTGACATATCATAAGAGTCTGTAATAGACCTACATGAATAAAGATATTTTGAATTTTGAATTTTTGAATAGAAAATCCGTTTGAAAAAAAATGTTTCTATTCTATCCTATATGACGACCTCGGTGGTCTAGCGGTCTAGCACACCGCTTTACGTCCGGTCGCGGGTTCGATTCCTCGCACGGTACAAACATTTGTATTCATGAGTATGATTGTTTGTATCGGTCTGGGTGTTTTCTATGTATAATATGTATGTATTTACGAAAAAAACAATTATCTATGTACTTGTATCAGTCATCTAGTACCCATAACACAAGCTTTAGCTAGCTTAACTTGGGACTAGATGGCGTTGTGTGAATTATCCTGAGATTATGATTTTTTTTTTCATTTTTTCTCTTCTTTTATACATTTAAAAGAAGGTAATACTCACCTACACGGGCCTTAGCCAAGTGTGGGAGAGGTTGTTCTGGGTGAAGATATTGTTGAGGAGGTTAGGAATTTAGCTTAACTTGGGTCTAGATGGCGCTGTGTGAATTGTCCTGAGATTATTATTATTTTTTTTTCTTTTATACATTTAAACGAAGGTAATACTCACCTACACGCGCCTTAGCCAAGTGTGGGAGAGGTTGTGCTGGGTGAAGATATTGTTGAGGAGGTTAAGAATTTAGCTTAACTTGGGTCTAGATGGCGCTGTGTGAATTGTCCTGAGATTATTATTATTATTATTATTTATATATTTTGTTTTCTATATATTTTGTTTTCTTTTTTAATTTATTTTGCTGGGTTTTTACGACGGGTATTTAATATTGGAGCGGTAATGTAGCCTACATGATAAATGATTTTTTTTTTTAACTTATTTTGCAGTTTTTATTTTTTATTAGCTGTAAACGCAACATCGTCCGCGTGGAATTTAAGTTTATTTTTCTAAAGTAAAAGTAGCCTAAGTTACTCCTTGTTACGTCAGCTATCTGCAAATAAAAGTACCGTCAAAATCGGTCCAGCGATTTCAGAGATTAGCCGGAACAAACAGACAGACAGAAATTGTTATTTTGGTGTATGTACCGCATTTATATTCATATGCATGTAGTAAAAAACGGTTATTTCAATATTACAAACAGACACTCCAATTTTATTTACATTATTTGATTAAAAAAAAAGTAAAAGTCATAAGGCTAGTCGTATGCCTAATATATATAATAATGTAATAAATTCATTAAAACAGAAATTGCGGGAACATTATTTAAATTTCTAACTTTTTTACTGTCCTTCTCCTTTTTTCACATCTTTCTGTTATATCCCTATAGTTCTGTCTATATTTTCTGTTTTTCTTACTTTCAATTTGAGACTGTACTTATAATTTGATTATCGGATCATTATGTATTTAACAAACTGACACTTCAATTTGATTTATATGTATAGATGTATGAATATGTGTATATATGTAATATACTACTCACTATCATACACACACACTGGCTAAATTGTATAAAATATTAGATAAGTTTGTCTACATCATCTGCTTCTTCCTTATCCCATTTATTTGGGATCGGCGTAATATGTTTTT